TATTTTTTGAGTAGATAATTTATTGTTTCTATAATTTTGCTTGAACCTAGCTTTTTCTTCCAGACTAACCAGTAATATATAAGAATCAGTGGTCTGTAATTTGGAAGTAGTTTCCTGCAGGAAATTGATCAAAGTTTCAACCTAGAAATACTTCATAGACTTTGAATTAATGGAGAGACACAATCCACCCAGCTTTATTCTCTCATGTAATTTGTCCAGGTAGTGGTGGCAAAATAATAAAAATACCTGTGTCATGAATCATTTTTACAAACGTAATTTTCAATAGTACCATGTCCCCCCCCCCAAAAAAAAAAAAAAAGTGTTTTTTTAATTAATTTCATAATAAGAGCTTCAATACTATCAAAGCATATGTAAAAATGCAGAATATTTGTGAAACTAGTATGCGCAATAAAACAAGTTTTGTAGAAAGAAAAATATTGTGGAATATATAAAAAAAATTAAATTTATACATACAATACATAAAAGAATACAGAAATAAAGTAGAGGTAGTTCTAGTTTAGGTAGAGAGCTCTTTTCCTGAAACCATATCATCAAGTGAAATACCATAAATGAGACAATAAATCCCATAAGAAAAAAAGTTTTGTTCCCTACCTCTACCCATATTCATGACTGAAAATAATTGATTTAGTAGAATAAAACAGTGAATGAATTCATAGTTGTGTATAATATCAGCACACACAAGAATTCAAGACAGATATACCAAGCCATGCATTAGATAAAATCTTGGTGAGGGAGGAAGTAATAGGTGGCTGTTCACAGAGACACTGAGCTGGAAGGGGCCAAGGTAGGGGATTCCTTGTCCTTCCACTTCCACTGACACTGCAAAAATAACTGAAAATTTTCTCCGACATCTCATGTAATTTAGAACAATCCCGCTGTATTAGGTCAGCATCATTGATGATATCAAGTGCTGCATCCACATGGTTAGAAAAGCATTGATGTACAGTCAGTATTTTTTTGTATTTTTCATTCCTCTTAAGCTCTTGGCTTTGTCTTATGTATCATACAGACTCATTGGAGTATTTGTTGCTCAATCTCAACCAATAGAACCAGCTTTCGCCATCCTTCGTCATGATTCTATGAAATAATTGCATTACCTGTTTGGAAACCCAGACTGCAGCCTTCCTTTATCCTCCTTGTTGCCAGATTTTGTTTATCTTGAAATAGGGTAGTAACAGTAAAAAAAATTGAGAGCCATAAAACCACTGTTAGAACATCAATTGGAATACCCTGGGTGAAACCTACTTGTGAACAGTCATAGCATTCCCAGCTGTTTATGGGTGACTTGCTAACCCCCCATACCACCAGTAAATCTCCTATATGGCCTTGTATTGCTTGGCTCAGGGGCAAAATTTTTACTTTTTTCACGTTAGATGGCTCCACAAGTGCTAATCAACCAATAGTCAATTACAAGCTTACCCAACCTCAATTGCTTAACCCCTCCATGATGGTATCTGAATTCACTGACAACCCAGTGACTTCTGGCAACCATCTTTCTGTTTGGCCTTGGAGTCTGCTGTTTATCGGAATTTCCGCTTGACTCACTCAGGCATGATGTGACACCTTAGCCGTCATGAGAGTCGGTTGGTTATGATGCGGTGAGGGGGTGGGCAGCAGAGCTCGAGCATTAAGAGGTTAACCACATTTTTTGAATTCCTCATATTATTATTTTTTAAATATTTTATTATTGCTACTGTGGTATTACTTTTTTTCATATTACATCAGCATTACCATTTTATATTGTCATTCTGGTATTGCCAATAACAATTTATTATTGATTATTAATGTTTATGTTTATTTTATGGTCATCATTTTTAAAAGAATTCAACAATGGTGTAAATAGTTAAGGTCATGAGGTCTGTCTCTCTCTCTCTCACTCGCCTCTCTCTCTCCTCATCTCCTCTCCCTCTCTCTCTCTCATTCTCTCCTCCTCTCTCTCTCTCTCTCTCTCCCCCTCCCCCTCCCCCACCACCTCCCCCCTCCCATCCCCCTCCCCCTCCCCCTCCCCCTCTCCCCCACCCCCCCATTTCCCACTCCCTTCTCCCTCTCTCTCTCCTCTCTCTCTCTCTCTCTCTCTCTCTCTCAAACTCTCTCTCTCTTCTCTCTCTCTCTCTCTCTCTCTCACTCTCACTGGTATTACATTTTATCATCATGTATTTTTTGTCAGCATTTTATTATTTTTTTTTTTCCATCTTTCTATTCTAGCGTTGTTGTGGATTACTAAACTGGGCGTGTGTATCGAGTGTGACTGTACAGGCGTTGACCGCCTACTAACCACGGAGGTGAGTGGTTGAAGAATGTCATAGCCAGTGAGCTCAGAAGGCCCAAGGTGGACCAGAGCCCCAGTAGATGAAACGTTGTTTGAAGGCCATCTCAGTGTAACTAGGGAGCTTGTAGCCATCCTCCCACCTGATAAGAAATATGAAATTGGTGGTGATCCTTCCAAGGAATTTTCTCATTAGGGTAAGTGCAGTTTCATTTGTAATGTAGATTTGAAATGAATTTTTTTTCTACAACACAGTGAACATCTTTCCCATTGAAACCATTTTTGGATGGATGTATTTATTTGTTACTGAATCAGTTTGAGTGAATACCATAACGATAAAAGAAATGTATTTTGCTTTTCCAGGAACTTGTAGAAGACTTTATATTCCCATTTTCTAAAGGTGTACCTTCAATTAGAGCATGCCGCAGAGAGCCTGCATGAGTCAAGTATGCTTGTATTTTTTGTTTCAGCAAAAAACACAAGCAGCAAATAGTACATGAAATAAGTCATGTCATTGCACCGTTAAAGAAATGAAGGCCTTTAAGTATAGAATCCTTTTTTCTTCATTTGGAGTCCTACAGCTGCCCATGATTCCAAGTAATTGTTAATTTTATGTATTCAATAGAGTGATGCTCATAAAAATAATTAAGATAAAAGAGAAACAGTAAAGTATTGTTCCAGGCCATACCAGTGTGCTCAACACACCCGACGTGATAGCAGCATAATGAACTCCTAGTCACGTTTATGTACTGGCTGTGTCCCCCACCTAACTGCATGCAGAAATGCTCACTCAATATGGATTATTCAGGTAAACATAAACCCATGTAAGTAAGTAAATTTCAGACGGTTGATTGTAGCACATCAGTGACTGGAATTAAATGGCACATACAGTGTCAAGCAAGGATATTTAGTCTACATGAGGATGGTTGAAAGGGTTCTGGATATTACATTAAGTTGGATCCTACATGATGTTTCTGTATCTCTTGGACCTGTTTTAATAATGGCTCTCCCCATGAAATGCTATACAAAGCAGTGTTCCCTTGTGTCATGCATGAAATTTGCACGAAGTTCAGTTGTTTGGGAAAGTACCAAAAAGGTAACACACACACACACAACACACACACACACACACACACACACACACACCACACACCAAAACACACACACACAGCACACACACACACACACACGACACACAAGCACACACGACACACACCAACACACACAAACACACACAAACACAAACACACACACACACAAACACACAAAACACACACACACACAAACACACACACAAACACACACACAACACACACACACAATAATTGTATATATTTATATTCATAGCATATACAAACACCCACCCATATACATAAAAATATAAAATAAACATACAAATACATTTATAAAATATATATAATAATATATATATATATATATAAATATATATATATATATATATATATATTATATATATATATTATAATAAATACATATATATATACATATAAATATATATGTAAAAATAATATATATCTTAAATATAAAAATATAAATATATATATAAATATAAAAATATATAATATATATATATCTGAATATAAATATATGTATATATATATATATAAATTATATCTTGTTATATATGTGTGTGTGTGTTGTGTGTGTGTGTGTGAGTGTGTTGAGTATATATATATAAAGAATATTAGCGTGCGTTCTGCATGATAGAGTGGTATTGAATTGGTTAGGAGGTTAATATTTATCTTAAGCAGTAGTCATACAAGTTACCTGTGGCCTTGGGATCCCTGAAAAGGCAGCAACTGAGTGTCCTAGTCAGGAAAGGTGGGGGTTGTCGATATGTATAGAATCGCCCTGAAGAAAACCATCTTCCAGTAAAAAACCAAGTGTCTACCCGTATCCCTCTTGAATTGCAGCAATGTCACAGATGATCATGGAGTCCTGATTGTCTTTTGCATGTCAGGTTTTAATAAAAAAAAAGCTAACTGAAAAGCTGGTCATATAACATAAAAACAGA